TGCAAGCCGGCCCCAGGCCGCCTCGCCGCCGCCCGGCCTCGCTGCGCGCCACCATGGACAGTCCCGTTTTCCCCTGGTAAAGATGGCGGTGCGCGATCGCTGCAACCTTTAGACTAATGACTGTCCGAAACATCGCCTCCATCTGTAATATGGTGAGTGGCCGCCGAGCCTCCGGGGGTCGCGCCCGCGGCGAGCCAGGCAAAGAAAGGGAACCCCGGGCTGGAGCTGCACGCGCGCCGTGGCCGGAGGGGCCGCGCGGCCAGAAGTTCCCGGCCCCCGGAGCTGGGCCGGCTGACCGCAGTCCCCCTCCCGCCTCTGTCCCGGCTGGGGACCGAGTAGATCCTGGGGATCCCCAGGGCGGCCCCATGCCCCCGCCCTCTAGCTGCGGTGCGGGGCGGTGGGTGGGGGTGAAGGGCTCGAGGTGGCCGCGCGCACCGATGTCCCGGGGAAGGACCGGGAGGGTACGAGTCCGGAGAGGGACATCCTCCTGGTGCAGTAAATAAGCCCTCGTTGGACTCCCTGACTGTCCTCGTCTCCTTTTGGAGTTCAGCCTCGATTGTATTTAAGATTCACTTTGCAACAGCAGTGCTCTCGCTTATCAGGAGAAATTGGATAGACATACAAGCTGTGGGGGGAAAAAAAAATCCAAGTGCAGAATCTGGTTAGAGAGGTGAAGTAAAGCCGGGTATTGGGAAGCACAGCGATTTGTTCTGGAGGCCTCAGTTTCCCCCACCTGCAGGAGAGAGTGTATGGCAGTAACATTTGCAGGCCCTGGGAGTGAGGCGGCTGTGGGTGTGAGGAAGTCGGCAGGGGCCATCCTTCCCTGCCTCCTCTCCACTTAGCTTGGGCACTGCCTGGCATGTCACTGGGCTGATGGGCTCGGGGGTGGGGCATGGCCCAGCGGGCACTTCAATTTGGATTTTTCCCCCACTACTTTCCTGTCCTGTTTAGTTTTCTTGGGACCCATTTCCAGCCTTTGGGTCCCCTGGATATGCATCCAGCAGGCACCCCCACTTGTGAGATCCTTAGGGAGGTCAGTTTGGAGTAAGGCATTCCCTGCTGGTGTGGGGCTTGAGGGTATGTGCTCTGCTTATACTCTAACCTCTCCCCACTCTGAGCCCCTTCAAGCTGGAACACTGGTGTTTTTGCCATTTTGGGGAATCCTCCCCCCCCCCCAAGATAGTAATACTAGCCCCTAAAGGGAATCTGAGGAGGCCTGATTAAGAAGGCTTTAGGTAAGGTGATCTGGCTGCCCTTCCCCCCTCACAGACTTTTAAATCTTCTGTCCCACATTCTGTTGCAAGATCAACACATGGCACAGAGCATTAAGGAGCCATGTGTTAGCTCAGGTGGAGTCGAGACCTGCTGTGGCTGGCTCCAGCTTTCAGCACTGGCAGCCAAGGCCTTGCCAGCAGGGCAAAGGCAGGAGCTCCCCGAGAGATGGCTGTCTGCTTGGTGGAACGGGGCTCCTTAGATGATGGCAGTGGCCCCTGCAGCCTTGACATTTCCCCTTTCTGCTTGAAGACACAGGTTTTCCTGCTTCTTCCTGTCCAGTGGCTTTAATGTCGCTGGATGCCTCCGGAAGACAATGCGTTTCTCTTCTCAGAGTCTTTGCTGTGACCCAGCTCCTGGGGCGAACTGTGAAACCACAGTGGCTTGAAGGCTGGTTTTCCCGCCTGTGGGGGTGGCCCTCAGGCCCACAGGCTCCTGAGACTCCGTGGCTGCTTGTGTGCGGGTCTTGTCCAGTTTGTATTCAGGGACACTTTCTCAGTATTGAAGCAGAGTGGAAACTCAAGAGCGAGCGTGTCCCCAGAGGACATCTGCCTCCGGCTTGTTCTTGCCCTTGCTGTAGCTAGGACTTCTTGGCACACCTGGAGAGAATGTCACAACCTGTTTTCAGTGAAACTCAGCCAGAGAGGCAAGCTTCTGGGAGGGCATGAGAGGAATGGGCGATATTGTGTGCATAGAATCAACACTTCCTCTGGTGACCTAAAAGGTACTGAGTTAAGGCCCTTACTCAGTCCCCCAACCCCTTCCCCTAGTGAAGTAAACCTACTATTTTCCTGTTCTGTGGAGAGATGTTTGCATTCTAAGGTGAGAGACTCCAGCTTCAATCCTGCTTATGTATTTATCTGTGGCTTGTGTTTTTGAGGCAGTCTCTCAAGCCCAGGTAAACCTCCCGCTTGAGATCGCCTTAAGCACTGGATGACGGGTGTGTTCCTCTTCATCCAGCTCGCAAGTAGGTCCTGCTTTGAGCACACACCAGCTTTGTGTCCTTGGGCATGCTACTTTTTGTACCTTGGTGTATACTTGTGGAAATGGGCTGACGCTGGTTACGTTGAGTGAGTCCCTGGGGCTCAGGGCCTAGGACATAGTAAGTTCTCAGAGACTTCCAGCTACTCCGCTCGCTCAGCACCTTCTCTCTTGTTACCAGGCTGCCTTCCAGTCGTTGACGGGGCCATGGAAATCGTGTCTTCTCCTTCCCTGAACAGAAACAACCGTAGGGTCACTTATACAAAGCAGGCTGAACAACACCTTAGCGAGGCTGGGGTGGGAACTGGAAGCCCCACCCCTTATAAAAAGCTGCTCAGGTCGCTTCTGCTCCTCCTCCCTTTCTCATTTCCCAGAGGAAAAGGGTGGTGATGAGGAGACTGCTGGACTGCGGCTGTCTCTGTCCCCACAGTGAGATAAAGGCTCCCTGTACCTCCGTGTAGAGACCTCACTGGATGATGAATTGTTTCCAGGTAGGTCTGTTCCCGGTCTCACTTGTGACAGCGCTTCTCGCTGGGGCTCTTAATAGATCCTGCCTACTTTCTCCTTTTGATCTCAGCTTGTTGAAGGAGTTGGAGAGCAAGCAGGGATTGCTTGTTTTTGTTTTAATTTGTATTTACTTGGTACTGAGTGGCTCAAAACAGGGCCTTGCACATGCTAGGGAAGTACTCTCCCATAGAGCAACACATTCAGGCTGCATTATAAAAGAGAAGGCACTTGGTATATTTCAGACATTCTCTGTTGTGTGTTCTGAAAGAGTGTTTAAAGATGCTATCTTCTTGGGGGAAGATACACAGACGAAGATCCAGCTCTGAAAGGCTGACTCCTTTCCTCCATCGGAGGGGAGCCCAGCAGAGCTTAAGTAAGCCTGGCAGCAAGTCCTTCCTGTGATGGAGAGCTGAGCGGCATCCCCTCCCTTCCTCCTCCCCATCCCACCGAGGTTTCCTTGTCTGGCACTGGTTCCCATTTACTTCTTGTGAAGGCCTCCCATAGTAATGCTTGATCAGCTCTCTTAGGGCAAGTCAGCCTGACCACATGGCAGGTGTGGTTGGAGATAGTAAAGCTTGTTTGGCTGGTGTATGTTGTCATTTCAAGAATGCTTCAGCTGCTCCAAGCACAAGGAAATGTCCCCAGATGACAATCCTCTGTTGTTCGGAGCTATGGATTTCGCTCCCTGTGTGTTTCCTGGTCCTTCCAATGGAAGAGATTATTTGTGGTTATGTTTTGTTTCCTGTTTGAATTGAGGAATTTTCTAAAAAGGGGTCCAAATGTGACTTGTACCGGTGTCAAATGGCCGGAACCAGCTCTTCTCCCTTTCATTTGTTAGGAGTGTCGTTGTTAAGATGTGTTTTGCAGGGGATGCCTGTATCAAGCAGTAGATTTGGGGGAGGGGGGGCCGTGGAACATGTAGTTTGGGGGTGGAGTGTCTTGCTTAGCCTGAGTGAGTCTTGGGTTTTGTCTCCAGCAGTGTGAGTGTGTGGGTGGAGGTGGTGGTGCATGTAGTTTAGGGGTGGAGTGCCTTGCTTAGCCTGTGTGAGTCTTGGGTTTTGTCTCCAGCAGTGTGGGGGTGTGTATGTGTAACACACATTTTGTACCTGGGAATGACATCTGTCAAGGACCAGCAGTGTTAGTGTTGGCCCACACTGTGTGCAGGTTCTTAACAAATGACGATGTGAGGCCATAGCTCCAAGGAGCTCAGGCGTCCGTCCCTTAGCTTGTGGCCTGATGTCGGCAAAGGTGAGACAATTTCAATGCAGTGTAATAGCCACAGGGATGGGGTGAACAGAATCTTAGGAGTAGGGAAGTGGTCAGGTTTTTACTTTTCATGAGGCCATGATCGTAGTCAACACCAGTCAGAACTGAAGCTGTGTGCTTGGGAGTCATTCCAGTTCAACATTGATGTGTTACAGAACCAGTACAGTGTTGGTGGCCTTTGGTGAATTATACTTCTGGGGGTCCATAGTTTTTCTCATCTTGTAAAACTGTTTAATATATTTTTGGTTATGAGATGTTTCATAGTGACGCGTATTTCTTAAAGCCTTTCCTCTCTTAATTGACTCAGTCACTTTGCTTCCTACCTGCCTTGTTTCAAACCTTCTTGAACTCACACCAGATATTGGCGGTTTAAATGCGCCTCCCGTGGGATGTTTTCTGAGACCCATTTGATGAGTCCTTTTATGTAGATGAAGTCATCTTCAAATGAAGGAAAAGTAAGACCAGTAAACATTCGCAGCAAAGCCAAGAATTTAATTTTACGTATATGTTCACCTGCTTATATGTCTGTGCGCCATGTGCCTGATGCCCACAGAGGCCAGAAGAGGGTGTAGGAGCCGGGAAGCATAGATCCATGCAGCTGTGAGCTGCCCTGTGGTGCTGGGAACTGAACCTAGGCCGTCTGTAAGAGCAACTGCTGAGCCATCTTTTCAGTCCCTAAACTGAGGATTTTTATATAAAAAGGTTTTATCTTAATAAATCAACGTTTTTAAAGCAAATAGTTTGAGAATGATCAGAATCCGCCCCCCTTTCTTTCTTTCTTTCTTTCTTTCTTTCTTTCTTTCTTTCTTTCTTTCTTTCTTTCTTTCTTTTTTTTTTTGTTTTGGTTTTGCAAAACAGGGTTTCTCAGTGTAGCTTTGCACCTTTCCTGGAACTCACTCTGTAGACCAGCCTGGCCTCGAACTCACAGAGATTCGCCTGCCTCTGCCTCCTGAGTGCTGGGATTAAAGGCACATGGCACCACCACCTGGCTTCTTTCTTTCTTTCTTTCTTTCTTTCTTTCTTTCTTTCTTTCTTTCTTTCTTTCTTTCTTTCTTTCTTTCTTTCTT